ACACACACACACACACACACACACACACACACACACACAAGAAAAACCATTTGCATGACATCACGGTGAATAAAACTGAGGTTGACACAAATCCATTGATTTAGCTGGACACAGCAGATCACTTGAATTGTCAATTGTCATCAAAATGAAAGGGGGAAATTGTGCAACATTGAGATAGCGTTACGAAACATAATGGAGGCTTTTCTGTGAGGTGACGTCATAGGAATATACATTTTAAAAGCTGCTCAATTCAGTTCCAAAGTGTATTTAATGCCCCTTTCAAACACTATTAGATTATTTAACCCTATCCGTACGTCCCGGGGTCATTTTGTACCCCCGGGGGTTGTATTCTTCACTTTTTAGAATACTTCTAGTACGAAAATCTCTTTGAAACTTTCAGTATTTCTCAAAAAATCGTTTTGACAGACTGCTAGCGCTATGCAAAGGTACGGATCGGATTAATGGGTAAATTTCCTCTTTGGAAAGTGGTGGGACATGGTTCCCCACGTCGTATGGATACGATAGTAAAACACGGCGTACGGATAGGGTTAAGAGGAGGGGGGCTCAGAATTCAACGTCCATCTCCAAAAGGACCGAGCCAAGTTGGTTGAGAGTTGAAAGCCTTAAAAACCCAAATTTAAAAATAACCGACTCAAATTCAAAGACGCCTCATCTAGGATTCGAACCAAGGCCATCCGCTTCGTGATCAAACACGATACCAATTTACTGAATTCGCCGGGCATCAACCTTGTTGGTGGGTGCTCTGGTGTGGTCTGCTCCTTCTTTCCCATCAAACGTCTATCGTCCTTATCTCCACTTTTTCTTTTTTATGTTTGTTACTCTCTTGTAAAACGTCTAATCTTCTGGCGCTCATATGACCTTATGCAGTTGGGAGCGCCGTAAAATCTCTGCTAAAACTAAAACTAAAACAACTTTGTTGCCGAAGGAAGAAAATGAAACTGAAGTTGACACAAATTGATTGATTTAGCTAAAACTCACCACATCACTTGATACGCCATTTGTCATCAACAGAAAAGGGGGAAACGAAAAAAGTGATAGTAAATTAACAACACTGGGAAAACGGAACAAAATATAATGGGGGAGGGGGCGGGAGCTTTTTCAATGAGATGACATCACTGGGATATTTCTATAGCAACTGGTGTGCGGTTGGCAGGTGTTCTGTCGTGTTTTGTTCGTTCTGTCCTACCAAATAGCTGTCGTCCTTACCTCTCTCTATATTATCTCTCTCTTTCTATCTCTCCCTC